AGCGTGAAGCGCTAAAATCCTGCAGTCTCTGCTCTCCTGATCAAGGCGAGTTATAGTAAATTGGTAGTCAGTGATGTATGGGCCGATGTGTTGCGGGATTTTGGGGGTTGAATTTAAGGGAGGCAAGATTTCCGGTTATGTCTGGTCCTTGCGCTGTCTGCCTGAAAAATTTCAACGAGACTTCGCTGAAACATTCCAGGATAGTGTTCAATTCCGCCAGTATGTGAACTTCCACTGTCCTTGTATCCCAGGGCGGTCTTGGACATTTTGTTCTGGTAACGTTGGAGTCTAAGTTTTTGGGTGTTGCAGATATTGTTCCAGGCTGGAACGCCATATAGTAGTGATGGCCTGATAATACTTCTGTAGATGGCAACACGGTTTTTGAGACTGAGGAGGATGTTAGTTTCATGATGGGGGTGAGAAGTCTTTCGGCGGCATAGGCTTTTTTGAGTGCGTGATTTACCTGAGAGTAGCCCCGGAGAGTCTTATCCAGGATTATCCCCAGGTATTTTTCCGATGTTTTTTGGCGATTGCCGTGCCGCCGATTGACAGGGGAGGATCCATGATGATGTTTGTCCTTTTCCTGGTAAGCGTGAGCAGCTCCGTTTTTGAAGCGTTCAATTCGACCTTCCACTTTTCCAGGTATGACGTGAGTTTCTCCATGTAATCTACCAGCGCCCTTCTCGCATCTTCTGCGAAAAAGGCGCTGATATATACCGCTGTGTCGTCGGCATACATCATCATGTTGGAGCTATGGGTTTTGGGGATGTCCGCTATGTAGAGGTTAAAGAAGGTTGGGGAGAGGACGGTGCTTTAGGGTACTCCAGCTTTAATAGGTTTGGTTTGGGATAGGTAACTGTTTATTTTAATGGCAAAGCAGGGTACTTGGGTAGGAGTGATACATAGTGGAGGGGTAGGTTGTGTGTTGCCAACAATTTGTAGATGAGGCCCTTATGCCACACCTTGTCGAATGCCTTCTCTATATCGAGGAGTAATAGGAAAGTGCTTTGGTGGTTCTTGAATGATGCGATTGCATCCTGAGCCACTTTCGCTAACTGCTAGAGTAGTGCTGTGTTTTTTTTTCTCGGAATCCGAACTGTTCCGGGGATAGGCATCCGAGTGTGTTGACTTCGCTTGCTAGTCGGCAGAGGATCAGCCGTTCTGCAACTTTGCCCAGTGAGTTTAGTAGGGGGATTGGTCTGTACGATTGGGGTTCTGTTATGTCCTTGCCGGGCTTAGGGAAAACCATAATATTTGCATACTTCCAGGCTGCTGGGAAATGTTGAAGCATCATGATTCCGTTGCAAATTTGTAGAAAGTAGATTATTGCTTTCCTCGGCAAGTTCTTGATGAGCGTATTTGTGATCGATTCTGGTCCAGGAGCTTTTTTGTTTGAAAGCTTTCTGATTATTTTAGTCAGTTCTGCAGGGGTCGTTAGCATCCCTTGTAGTACCCTGGGCGGTATTGGGTATTTTGCATGACAAAGGCGTCCGTCATCCTCGAGATATTAATATGTTCTAATCCCTGATCGAGAGACTCTTTGATGACCGTGGCAAAGTGTTCTGCGAATATCTCCGCTTTATCTTCGTCCTTGTAGTAGCTGGCGCCTCCGTCAACCAGGTCCACTTGCTGCGATCCTGGTCGCCTAAGGTTGTTGGCCAGACTCCACAAGGAGTTATCATTTGTTCCTAGAGAGGAGACATACTTCATCCAGGTTTTTTCCCTGTGATTTCGTATGTCCCTCTCTATTTCGAGGTTCATTATCCCGATAACCTCCCGGTCTAGGGGGTTGGGACGCCTCTGACATGCTCTTTTGACCCTATTGCGTTCTTTGATTAGTGCTACAATGGATGCTGGGAGGGAGTCTGTTCTGTGTTTCAGGGTGATTTTTGTGGCCAGTTGGTCCTTGACGGATTGGATGTTCTTTGAAAGTATGTCTACTAGCCTCTCAAGTTCTAGAATACTAATTATTGGATCAGGGTTGGCCGTAATGTCGTTCAATCTTTGTTTGTACATTGGCCAGTTGAAATTCCTGTATGAGAAGACCTTCGATTCCTCTAGCACTAGAGGGTTTTTCCAGTACAGTGTGTGGTCAGAGCCGAGTAAGTTTTTTGTTTCGATTTTGATGATAGTGACCTTTTTCGAAAGTGCAACATCAATTAATTACGGATGGGGTTAGGCCTAAGCCAGGGAAGTAGGTAGGGTTGTTGGGGTGATGAAGATGCAAGTTCGTATTGTTTATCAAGTAGTTGAAAAGAATGTTGCCTGCCGTATTATTGCAATTGTTCAGCCAACTTATGTGTTTGGCGTTGAGTTGTGTGTTTGGCGTTGAGGTCTCCCACCAGCAAGGCCCTATTGTTTCTGGGAAGAAGACCCCAACGTCGTTGGCTGAACTTAGTGAATTTGGGGGGGGCGTAGCCCCCAGAAATCCACGTGCTGTTATCGATTTCGATTGTGATATACTCGATGTTAGACACCAGTGTGCTAACTCGCCTATATCTCACTGTTTTCTGTATTAGGCAGGCAACACTCCCTCCCCTATTTAGGACTCTATCGGCTCTTTCAATGATGTAGTTTATGTATTTAGGTTTGTCGTTTAGTCTCGTTTAGAAAAACTATTTTGCGATTGTAATGGTTCAATCAATGTTTGATATAAGTCTTCCAATTTGGATTTGACTCCATTACAGTTCCAGCTCAGTATTGGAAACATTCAAAAGTCGAAATTGTGTTTTTGAGTAAAAAAGAATTGCATGGTGACTTGTAGGATTTGAGCCTTGTCACCATTGCATTGTTTCAGGAGTCAGGAGTTGATATAGGTATTTAATGCCTTCAGAAGTTCCGAGATGTTGACGAGTGAGTTAAGCTCACTAATCGTTGTGGCCAACTTTAAGATTGTCACTTACACTCTGACAATTTTGTCACTGGTAGCGGCTCGTGTTTGTGCTCTGGGCGTTTGTGCAACTCGACGCGCCGGGAATTCTTGGTCGTACCTCTCGGGCTTCCGCCGAGGTACCAGGCTTGCAGAAGATGTGGCTCTCGGTTCTTGAGTTAAGCCTGGGACACATCTATCATGCATCCTTCCGATCCGACTCCGATCATACAATGAGGGTCCTTATTCTTGGACAACAGGAAGCAGCGTTTCCAGGAGAACGAGAGTTCCGCTGCTCCCCTGTTCCAAGAATAAGGACCTTGATTGTATGATCGGAGTCGGATCGGAAGAATGCATGATAGATGTGTCCCTGGCTTAAGTGGGTTGGCCCGTGATTGCCATGCCGGTGTAGTTAGAGGCGGTGCAGGAACGTATTATTTATTCACAATCCGTAGTCCAAAGGTAAAGGTAAATTTATCAGCTTTCAGTGCTATTTGATAGGGAAAGGTGATAAATTTACCTTTACCTTTGGACTACGGATTGTGAAGAAGATATACCTCCTGCGGGGTTCTAATTGCCTGATCTTGTATATGTATACAGAGCAATTAGGGTTGATGCTGCGGTGTTCACCCCCGTAGTTGGCACATTTTCCAGTGGGATTGTCGCAGGTGATAGTGATTTCGTGTGGTCCAGTACACCTGCTGCATTTGATAGTCCTTTTGCAGTAGGTGGCTGGTTGACCTTATTCCCGGCACCGTCGGCATTGCATCACAGGGCTCTCCGAGTTCCTATTTTCCCAGTGTATCCTGACGTTTAATATGATTTTCGCCTTTTAGTTGAGGGCCTTCAGGGTGTAGGAAGCATCTAGGATAACTAAGTACATAGCTTCGTACTTAGTCTTCATCCTAAAGATGTTCTGGCTAGAATGTTGTGCCTGTTCCTGAGGTCCTCTGTTATGTCTTGGATACTAATATTACCTTCCAGGCCCCGGATGACAAACGCGTGCCCTCTTGTTGCTTTCTCGGCATATGTGTGGTGCTCGGGTTCTTCGGCTTCAAAGTTTCGGAGCAGGGTTTGCCAATCCTGGACCTGTTCACAATAAATATGGTGGAGTTTTTTGAGTATCTAATTGAGTATTTGGTGATACTCAGTTTCGTGAACAGGTCGCTTTGGGCCCGGTGGTTCTGGAATTTTCCCTTGACCACGATTGAGGGAGGTTTTTCAGGCTTTTTGGTAGTTGCTTTTGCCTTGTTTGGTGTAATGCTCTGACGAGCCTTATTGCATATCGAGGTGGTGCCTGATGCCTCTGATACGTTACTTGCTGTGGCAGCGCATTCCTAGTCAGACGGGACTCCTTCAAACCTATTTGTGGTCGGGATAGGTACCCCAATGTCTGGCTGCTTGATGTTTAGTATCTTTTTAAATCCAATGGTTTTTAAAGGAATCTTGAATGCAATTTTCGGTGGCTGCTGCTGTTGTTTTTGTTTTGGTATTGTACCGTTTTTTGCCTCTTTGGAATTTGATGCGATCGGTTTGGGCGGCGACCTTGCAGCAGCCTTATGCCGCTTTTTGCTTTGCACTAACTTTTGGACGGTTTCGAGATGCGTGATTGCAAAATTCTTCGTTTGCGTATTGTAGGGTTGCGGGTTTACACTTGTCATTTTCATGATTTCCTTGTGCAGGTCATCGCAGATTGTGCATTTTCCTTAGTATATCGCTAATTTCGTTTTCAGGGCTTTTGTTTTATGTCGTAAGTTGTATACTGTGGTACCTTCGTTTGCGAGGAATACCACGGAAACTGCGTCGTCTTCTACCTCGTCCATAGTCCTCTTATGCGAGGGTCTTCCCGGTGGTGGTGATCCGATAGTAGCTGTAGTACGCGTTGGTTTAATAATTTATTTCAAATAAAAAAAGCGGTGTGATTCCCCAGCTGGTCTCTGCTCGACGGTCGAACAGAGAGTGTACATGAATTGAGTCACAAAATCCAAAAATCGATGTACTGGGGACTAGCGCAAAGTAGTACTGTTCTGCACGCATTTTCATGCGCAAAGTTATAATTCTCTGCACGCCGTGCGGATGAGATTTTTATCCGCGCTGAGTGCAAAAAAGTAGAAGTTTGTGAAAGACTCACCGATGAAAGTTCAATTTTTTTTTTAGTTCCACAACTATCAAATAACCTTGAATAACACTGTAGGACGAGAAGGTGGCACTCAAATTCTTCGTTATCAATATATACTTTGCAATCAGCATTTCTGCAAATGGAAAAAAAAATGTTTTTATAACAAATAGACCTGTAGTACAAGAGCTAAGATAAGAGATAAGAGATAAGTCTTCATCTGGGGGTTTTTGTGAATGCCCGATTCGATGATGGTATTTGCAATGTTGCCAAGCTAGCCGTTTTTAAGATGCCGTATGTAACCTAATTATTTTTGATGAAATAGGGTTTCATCAAGACGAGAAATCTTGACTTGAACGTAATTTCTTGACTTGACTTGAAATTCAAGATCAAGAAATTCAACATGTCTTGACTCGAAGGGTTCTTGAAAGCAAAAGTCTTGACTTGAAATCAAGATATCTTGAAATTTCTTGAAATTGCTTGAAAATAAGCTATCTTTGTTTTTCTATACGTCGCTCTCGAAAACACTTTAGAAACGCGTTGGGTGCTGCAATTTAGAGTGTTTTAACAGGAAAAGCATACTTCCAGATCAGATAGAGAAAAATTGACTCAGATTTCATGGAATCGATTTCCGAGAAACTTCGATTGTCAAAAACCGTATTGCGATAATATTTGATAGTTTTTTATTCAGTGACGGACTGACCCGGCGGGCTGGCGGGCAGAGCCCGCCGCGCCCTCATGATTTAATTAATATCAAAATAAGGTTTAAAAATATTTTTATGTAAGACCCACACTGTAAGAGCCTATTACGTCACTCATTTTAGCCTGTTTGAGTTATGTAATAAGTTGTATTATCGTACTTAGTGATATATTGAGCTCATTACATCACTAGTGATGTAATATAAATCATTAGTGATGTAATGAGCTCATTACGCAATTCATTTTTATTGAAAAACGGCACTTTTTAAAATTCATTTATTCGAAAAAATTATAAACCTAATCTATCGTGATAAATTAAAACCATTCCGAATACATAAAAAAAATCTGGGCCCGGATTCCGAGCCTACGATTCGATAGTATCGTCTATATATAAATATAATGGACGATACTATCGAATCGTGTGTTCGGAATCCGGGCCCTGGTTCGCACATAAAATGTTGTATATCACACGTACGGTAACGCACATTACACCACTCGTCGTGACTACCACGACTCGGTTTGCGACCTCATCTTGTCCTTGTCAATATTCCCCACTCGTTACTGTAATGAAGCCCTTACCATATTAGTAATATAAATAACTCTTAATAAATTCGGAATATCGATTACTTATTAATTATAGTGCTCTCATATTAGTAAGAACGACAAGTAACATCCTGCTTGTGCCTTGCGCTTTCCTCGTGTATTCGTTCTAGTGAAGATTAGAGTGAATAACCAGTGCAACAGTTTGCAAGTCTTGCAAAAACTGTATTTATGGCAGTTACAGGCTAACAATCAAATTTAATGTTAGAACCAGTTTGACACGGTCCAAGTGCTTGATCCAAGTGCACTTAGATGAGGACTTGGATCAAGTTGGAAGCACGCTTACTTACTTGGATGAACAGTTAGTAGGTACCATCCAAGTATCGTCCAAGTGAGGCGCGCGCTTCGTCCGAGGGTACTTGATCCACGTTCACTTGAACCGTGTCAATCCTTCACGCATATGCTTATCTAATACTTTCGAAAGCTTACAAATATTTGTCGATTGTCAGTTGCGCAAATTAGTTGTGATCGAAGCTCAAGAAGCTGAAGTATATTTAAATCAATTATCAAGTAACCTTAATCACAACAACCCCGGAGTGTTTTTGATAATGTCTATGGAAAAAAAATCACTGATGTCGTTAGACAATAACGAAATTATCAATAATATAGCTAAGACTAGTGAAAACTTCCATCAAATTTTGATCTTTTTCTTGGGAAGCATATAACGGTGTGGTAATTCATTCTTGTCGATAACATATGACGAGCTTTACTTTCAACTGTATAGGGTCACTTGAGCCTGGGAACTTTTTCAATACCCTGGAAAAAGCGGCGGATTTTGCTGATTTGTGCTGGTTTTCACTGGTTTTAGGCTGGTTTAGCTGTTTTTTTGCTAAATTTTGCTGGCACAAAACCAACTAAATCAACATAAAACCAGCATAAAACCAGTACAAAACCAGCAAAATCCGCCGATTTTCCCACGGTATCGAAAAAGTTCCCAGGCACAAATGACCCGATATTTACTTCAACTTTTTCTTGGTGATGGCGCCCCATGAGGGAAATCGCCCGCTGTAAGTTTAGAACCCAGTGCATCCCTGTTTTTATTTATGATTTTTTGTCATTTCTGTAAAAACATTTGGTAATACTTTTTTGAACGCAATCCAGTGACGTACTCAGTTTTTTTCTATTTCGCTCCGATTTTGAGATATTGACTAAAGTCTGATTTTTGTTAATAGGACGCCACTGGATTATGTGCTTAAAAAAGAATCCGGAAAATGTTTTCACAGAAAATAGCTATTTTTCAGAATAGGGAAGAATCCAAAATCGCCCTGTATTAATGGTACCATTATTCATTGGAGATATCGCGATACGGTTTTTGACAATCGACGTTTCTCGAACATCGATCTCATGATATCTAAGTCAATTTTTCTCTATCTGGTCTGGAAGTATGTTTTTCCTGTTAAAACACTACAAATAACAGCACCCAGTACTTGTTCTACCTGCTCGAAAAATCAAGAAGATCTATGGTTGAACCAAATCCAAGCGGCAGTAAATGACAAACTGGTCATTTTCATTACAACCTATCATATGTCCTCCGTGCATGCGCACTAGTCCAGGTAGGGCGTTTCAACCAATAGGAAGGCTGGTGTTTGTTGACAATTTAGGCTACTTAATGTCATTTACTGCCGCTTGGATTTGGAAATGGTATGGTTAGTAAAATGGTACCAACTGACATATTTTGCGAGAATAATATCGAACTAAAAACGTTTTAATACAAAATTGGGAAAATAGTACCTATAATAGACACGTTGCAGATTGTGGGACTATTGTGGCAGCCTGCAACTTGTATTTCAATATACTATTACAGCCACTTGTAAAACTGTTTAGGTATTTCAAGAAATTGAAGAATTTCTTGATTTCTTGACAAGAAATCTTGATCTTAAAAAAGGGAATCTTGACTTGTCTTGAAAATAGTTTCAGATTTCTTGACTTGAAATTTTCTTGAATTCAAGTCAAGATCAAGTCAAGAACAAGAAATTTCTTGAACATCGTGAAACCCTAATGAAAAGCCCTCTTTATTTTTATACAGTGAGGACATAAGGTCCGTTGTCCCCCTCTAACTTCTGAACCGCTCGGTATATCACAACGAAATGTGGAATGATGATTTGTGAGCAAATGTTCCATTCATTGAAAAAAAAAATGACAGTTTCAGCTGTCAAAATGACAGCTGTGCGCAGTTTTGAAACGATTTTCTAAATAGAAGGCGCGGTCGAGTGATATATCGCTTTAAAGGTCTCTTTATTCTTAGCTTAATCCCCGATTCTGAAAACATTTTGGTTTAACGGTAACGAAAAAACATGGGGCCAATTAAATTACTCACATATTGTTTATCACTCGTTTATACAGCTTCAAATACAAATTTCCTTTTTCGGGTAATTTTATTTTGTTCCAAGGAATGGGCTCTTCACTGGTATAATATAATAAACGTTTCAAGTGTAGTTCGGGCTCCAAAATTTGTTTCGTTTCTTTTCTTCCAGATTCAGAATACTCGGAAGCTTCCTTCGTAGGACTGTATTCCGAGAATGTGCATGTTAGAGAGCCTAGAGACGATATTCCGTCAGCGCCAGTGGCCTGGAAAGTATACAGACTTATTTAGAAAATTCATGAGTTTTCCCAATGACCTTTTCCTAAAGTCTGTTTTTTTTTAAGATAAAAGTCAAAATGATCTCGGCAACACAAAGTAATATTGTCAATGATTCGAACAGTTGAAGATAGACATAGGAGGACTTCATCAATACATAAACTATATACATATAGACTATTCGATTCGAATTTGAGATTCCAGTGTTGCAAGCGCTATGCACTTATGTATAAGAATAATATGTTATATAAACATTTAAATGTAGGTGATTGCAAAAGAGTAACTTCATTAGAGGTTCAAACTTCCATCAAGTAGGTACAGGCCAAATCAATGATATCAATAGATAATTTTATAAACCCGCACTCAGATTCAAAGCTACACTTTTTGTTTATTAAATTTAACCCAATTTTTGTATTGTGTTTATTTGATCTAACCAAATAGGTAATTTGTTTGTATTATTCAAGTTTATAGTATTTTACCTGGTTTATAAGGGCTGCCATTGTCAAACGTTCACATCCATTGGCTTCTGGGTTGTTCCTGCGATTCATTTTTTCTAACTGTCTTATTAATATTCACGGTTTTTAACCTTATTCCGATTAGCCAGAAACGTTTAATTTGTTCTAGAAAAATCTACATAAAATAAAATAAAACCTAATAATTATCCTGGCACTGCCTGGCGATTGGCGATCTATCTTTTATTTCGAGTTCTAATCTAATGGCCGTTTCCACCAACTATTTTAGGGGAGCCTTAACGATAAGTATTCCTTAAAAATGTCTTTCATGGAGAAATGTCAGTTTAAGGAATACTTATCGTTAAGGCTCCCCTAAATTAGTTGGTGGAAACGGCCATAAGTCTGTCTTATCATGAGCATAATAAATGTTAATGTTTCTCTTCTACTACGAAACACAGCTTTCGGTCGAAAATTTTCATAATATATAAGATTGGTATTACGTCATTTTCTTGTTTAATTTAGTATAAGTAATATTCCAAGATAAGCGACTCCACAAAAAAATTAATTGATCAATTGCAAGAGCTCATTTCCAAGGGTAGTCGCAAATCTGTTGATTGTGTAGAAATCAATGGAATAGTAAAACAAAACTAAGATGAGAGAAGACACAAGGAGGGCAATAGAAGAATGAAGTGTCTTGGACCAGCATTAGGAGAAAATATTATGTCTTTAATGAAAGTGAATATGGAAAAGAAGTGAGAAAATATAAAATAAAAATAGCTGATCGTAAGTGGATTGTAACGTAGATGTGATAATTCGTTGACGTATAAGAGACGCTCAGATCCTCGCTCAGATCGTAACAAACATTGGAATGTGCTCATAACAATCCTTAAAAATCACTCAGTTTTTCTCAGTCTGAAAGAATATTGGTATATACAGGGTGTATATTTTAAGTGATACCACTATTGCTATATCTGAAACTGTAAGATCTACAAGGTCGGTTAAATTAGAAAAAAGTTGCCTTTTTGGATGCCCATTCAAGACTCGTTTACATTGTTGCCAAATTCCTTTTAGTTTATGAAATATAGAGTGATTTTTAGGAAACGCCTAAAAATATTTCATAGATTATTTCGAAAACTATTGATTTCGGAGACCCAATTTAAATTTGAAAGTTTTATAATTTATTTCGCTCTACAAAATGGTATCTTCAAATTTTAAATCCGACGTTTCGTCATCGAACTACCATCATCAGCTCCCATTTCTTAAAATACGGACCTGGATTTTTTATGTCTTTTTTGGAAAGGGGATGAAGGGGGCGCTTTCTAAAAATGACATAAAAAATCCAGGTCCGTATTTGAAAAAATGAAGTTGATGATAGTAGCTCGATCACGAAACGTCGGATTTAAAATTTGAAGATATCATGTTGTAGAGAAAAAAAAATTATAAAACTTTCAAATTTAAACTCAAAAATCAATAGATTTCGAAATAATTGATGAAATATTTTTGGGCGTTTCTCAGAAATCACCCTTGATTTCATAAAATTAAAGGAATTTGGCAACACTGCAAACGAGTCTTTAATGGGCATTAAAAAATGCAACTCTTTTCTAATTTAACCGACCTTGTAGCTTTTACAGTTGCTGATATAGCAACAGTGGTATCACTTAAAATATACACCCTGTATAACTCAAGTTGGAAAAATTGAGCACAATCTTGCACCTCTGCCTGATTGCAAGAAAATTTGCTAATGGAATTTTACTGCGTAATAGGTAGTCCAGCGAATTTGATACGATATGACGCAAATTATCTAGAGAATTCTAGAGGAGCCAACGCGGTATAAAACCGAGTCGGCCGTTGAGGAAAAGTCAGTGATAAATTGTAACGTTTTCAATTTCTTGGCTAATAAGCTACTGTGTTTTGCTTTAGTAGATATGATTCCATATAGAACTACAATGAAATAAATGAATAAATAGCTATCTTTTCTGTGCCCAGATTTTGTTACCTTGAGTACTGCCTTCTACTAGAAGTTTTTTTGGTTCAGGTTTGCAAGTTTTGTTGATTGATCTAGGAAGGTTTGATTCAGTACGGCAGGGCCCGCTGTTATTGATTAGAATCTTAGGAAAAGGAGTTAGTACCATCACCATCTCTGTTTGCAAATCCAATCAATAATCTTGAGGTTATGATAATAATTGTTGTTTTTTTGTACTCTTTGACTTTTCATTTCCATCATGTCATTGAACAGCTGTTTTGTCTAGGCGTTTTCTTTAGACCTGTTCTACCTTTTGATATATGTTCTATAGGCACTTTTCAACATTCACCAGTCATTTTTTACACAACCGATTCTCAGTTCGTACTTTTGGGGTGAAACTGAACACGTCCTTTTCTATAATTTTCTTCAATGTCAAAATTAGAAGTTTGACAGATGAAAGTCTTCTTCCGAAATCTAAATTCGAAATGAAGAATCTGCCCTTTTGATCTGCGACCTCACGCTGAGTAGTCGTCCGGTCTCGGGCCTCGGTCCTAATTGTTTTTGGGGCGAGACTTTTTGAAATTTTGTGCCAGGGAGCTCAAGTTTTAGACTAATTTCTTGCTGATAATTGTCTAGAGTCGTCCCTTGGTCATTTTTGGATTCTGTTTCGGACTGTTCCGAGCAGCATTTGGAAGTTTAAGACTTCACCTTTGGTCTAGAGTATCCCTCAAATTGAGGGTCCTAGTCTCAGGCTATAGTTGGACAATCCTACTCTTAGGCTATAGTTGGACAATTCTAGTCTCAGACTATAGTTGGACAGTTGCTAAGCTGTATTTAGAGAGATTCTAGACTGGATCTAGATTGCTCTCAGTTGGGGCTTTGGTAGCAATTCTTCAGCAACTCTCTTGGTGCCACTCTGGCAGAACCACGTCGAGTTCTTCGTTGAACGGATACAACGTGGATAGGACTCATGACTCACTTATCATACCATTGTCTATCTACAGTGAGACCAAACATGTAGCTAACCTCACTCTTGGAACTTCTGGACTTACACATTACATGTGAAGATAACAAACACTTGTATCACATGTAAGTTACACCTTTTACTATATAGGCAAATCCTATGTAAATCACTTGATACTAAATCAGGTTTGGTAAGTGCCCCTTAAATAAAATTCTAGAATTTTACCCTGAGGTTGCCCTGACAATAACTTTTCATCTTTCTGTGTTTAATTTGCCTGTTGGTAAAGTGTAACCCATACTGTATTTTTCTTATCACTCACAAGTGTAAATACCAAAAGGTTTTTAGTCATGTTCACTTAAAATCAATATTTTTATACATTATTTACATTCTTATTTTTTTTTATAATCAAATATTTATAAACTGGTACAAGCATTATTCTGAACACATTTTTAATAACCTCCTGGCTATCCCTATATTTTGTTATTATTTTTAATAAAGAAGCCAGATACATTATTGTACCTAATTAGTTGTTTTATTGCAATTGCACAGGTTTTGTTTAAACATCATTAGGTTATCTTCCTAGTTAAGTCACAATTAACTTGGTGGCGCCCAAAGGTAAGATGTATACAAGGAACCCATAGACCCATGGCCTCCGAACTGAAGCTGACTAGCCGTAGCAGTATAATTAGGCAATTGCCAAAATAAGTACGTTATAAAATTAGTTGTCAGTGTTTCAAGAATATCAGTTGAACGCGAATAAGTTAGTAACCAGTAATAAGTGGAACGTGAGTCGATAGTAAGAAAGGAAGCAATCGGCTGCTAGAAGCATCAGGTAGGTAAATTTTAACCAAGCTGCTGGCCATGTCCCTTTTGAAATAAAACACTTTGTTTGCAAACTTCTGACTTCAGTTGAATTCAGTCTACTCAATTCAACCACTACCACAGGATCATGGATCAATGGATTTAGAAGGCGAACTCGAGGCTGCACCTTGTCCTCGGCTTGTTTCTCGTATGAGTGGATCTAATTTTTGAATGTCGTTCCTTAGACTTCAGGTCGTGAGCTTTGCCTTTTTTAGGTTTTTTTTTGGCTAGTCTCCAAAAGTTTCTATGAACATAATGCCCTAAGCCTAAGATGCTTCCTGAAGAAGTTATAGCTCTTCAAACAGTATAGGTAGATGAAAATAATAGGTTTTAATTATTTTCAAAAATATTGCTAAACTATTTTCCTTGAAATTTGCTATTCTCGCGTATTTCGATGCCAAAGCGAATGGTCAAAGTAAAAAAAGTCGCAACAGTCCTGAAAGGTTAGTTTCCATAAGGGTAGAGGGTGAGAGCTCACAAAACGGAAAAGCATTTTAGGGCATATTATGTTCATAGGAACTTATTTTAGTTTTCATATGTAGTATCACCCCTCGAAGTCCGGTACACTAATTTTTTACACCCAGTATGTAGGTATGTATGTATTTTTTCCTACAGCCGTGCGGAAAAATCGATTTTCCGCACTGATATGCGTGCAGAAAATGAGTTTTCCCGCACGGTGCGGTAAAACTTTTTTTTTACATATCAGTGCGGAAAAAGTTTTTCCGCACGGCTGTCAGTGCGGAAAAAATTTTACCGCACTGATATGTCCGCACTTGTTAGGTAAATAGCTATTTTTTCTAAAGTATATACAGTAAGGGGCAAGCTACTAGGTATATAGGATCCAACATGACGAATTTACGTCCGTCCGCAGCCGTTTGAACACCTGTCGCTGTCGGTCCGCTGTCGTTCGTTTGACAACTGTCCGTGCGTTCGGTATTTTGATCTGAGTTCTCCGAGCTTGAATTTAGCGTTCGTTTATTTGATAAATATACTCGGTGCAGGCTCATTCGCGTTCTTTATTAAAATTTCTGGCACTCTGATACGCTGATACAGCGTTCAACTGCTCTGTTCGCTCGCTGGTCACGTGATTACGGCTCCGCTCAGCAAGCTCTGCTCTTTGAACAAAATATTTACCAAACGCAAGGTTTGACGTTCATTGGAGTTTGTTCACTTCAGTGTAGGCACCGTGGTGGAATCGTAGAAAGAGCAGGGCCGTAGCGGGGGGAGACTGAGATTCGGCGCCCCCTAAGCGCAAAGAAGGCAATTCAAAGGCGAGAAAAAATTAACTTTTTTGCAACTTTGGCAGACTATAAAACCTTAACGGTTAATTTTAAACTTTAGAGCAATCATTTGACACCAACTTTGAATTTAATCCATGATTGAAAATTCC